TTGTATAGTCTAATATTTTCATGCTGGGTATGTGCTAACATGGAATGGTATTTTATTTTTTAAAAATTTCAGGTGAAATTGTGTAGTCATGGGTGAGAAGGTAAGAGGCTAAGACCAGGAAGCAGCTAAGATGGCAAGCATGTTTCTTGTGTTCAGGGCCGTATCCTAATTCCCCAGTGCCTTACAGGCTTCCAGAGAACAAAATGTAGAAATGCAATCAAAACCTTTGCATCCCTTTGCCACTGAAGTTACGTTTTCAGTCTGGTGGCCACCAGGGCTACCATTCATCAGTCATTTGGTCCAAGTCATGCCGGAAAGTGTCCGTAGCTGCAAGGCTGAGCTCGGGGAGCTGCACATGGGATTGCTCTCACGGACCACTGTACATGGACACAGCGCTGGTGGGAGCTAAGACAGAAGTGGGAATACGTGCTTAAAAGATGGGATATTAGGAATTTCACAATTAGGTTCTACTCTCTTTCCTCCTTGGTACCCGGCTTGTGCTCCTCATGCATATCCCCGGTCCCTTCTCATGATCTCAGGTTTTTCCTGCCTTCCCTTCCTGAGCAGCTCTCTGTGTTGTCCTCTGCATTCTCCGTGCTCTCTCCCCAGTATAAGCGGGACTTGTCAGGGAACAAATTACAATATGGGGCTTCAATTCTATGTCCAGTTTCAGTCAGCTGTGAAGAACAACAAAGCCCACAGTTCATGATGCCTCACATGGATTTCCCTGCCTGCAAAACACAGCTCCCCTTAAGATTTCTGCCCTTTGGGGCCCCACTTTTAGCTCATGAATGCTGTCTGCTGCGTCTTCTCCCATACTCTGTATGCTGCTTGTATGGTCCGTGGGATGGTTCAGCCCCATGGCCTCTGCTTGGTAGTCTTGGGCTTTGACTTCTGCCTAGCTTTAGGCTTCTAACTGGCTGGGGGGGGGCAGAATTTGTTCCCCTCAGGAGGCTGGATTTCCTGTCATCTCCTCCTGCTGTCTGCCCTCTACAGCTCTCTGACTTCAGGGTGTAACATATTTTCTGTATTTCATAGTGGGCTCGTTTGGGGATCTTCTAGTATTTTCCTGAGCAGCTCTTTTGTTTCAGTCTGCGGTGGTGGTCCTGTCCTCTTGCAGGGACTCAGCTGCCAGCTTTGATGTGTTTGATGTGCAGCATCAGAGCAGCAGCTTGCTATCCCACAGTTTGACCTTCCTTCACAAACACCGAGCAGTTAAAAACAACTTGAGTTTCATGTTTGCTACCAAGAGCAGCACTCCCCACATTTCACTGCTCCTATCTTACAATTCAGTGCTTCCAGCAGGCCTGGCTGTATTTTGGGTCTAGCTATGAGCAAGGACAACTTCACTGCACCCCACACAGACTCTCTGACGGGTACGGGTTTCTAATGTGTGCTCCTGGCTCCCTCTCTGCCACCCTTCTGCATCCGCAGAGGCCCTGCTCCCTCCACAGCATCACGCTCCAGCCATGTCCTCACCTTAACTCATTCCCTTTCAGCCCTCTGCATGGCTTCAGGCTTTTACATTGGAATAATGAAGCATAACAGTCTCAATGTTTTTAAGTACATCAGTCCGGTTCAACTGTTCATTATCCCGCAGTATATTTAAACCAGCTCCTTTTATGTGCCAGACAGCTCTGCCAAAGCATCTACACCGGTAGCTGAATGGCCAGGTGAAGGCTAAATACACCATTTGGCATCATGGTTGTAGGAGAAGTAGCTAATGGCATCAGGCAGGTAATGGGGTGGATGTGGGGGTGTGAACGTCCAAAATGGAACCTTTGAACTCCCGAGCTGCAACTAGCACAGACTGGTTGTAAATTCTGGATAATGCCCACGCTAAACAACAGCGTCACATCCTGAATCCTCCAGTTAATAGAGAGCCATGAGGCAGAGTCAGCAGCTGGGAAGCTGGTTGTGCAGTGCACGTCTGCAGATAGACCGCTTAGACTGGGAAACCGAGGGCTTGGGCTCTGGAGAGAAGAGGTGTCCCGAAAGGCAGTGCCTTTGGACAGAAGAAGGGGGCCTGGAAGGAGGATGGCACTGATCCTGGAAGCAGGGGCAGATCCTGGAGATCACGGAGCAGGCATGTGTCTCACGGGCTGCCCGGGTCTTCTGGCTGGCGAGGGCCTCGCTGGAGATTTGGTGTGCCGGCAGCCCTCACACCCATGGGCAGAAAGCACATTCATCTGCCAGCTGGTCGGGGTGCGTCGTGCCAGCGAGGCCCCGCCGGGGGTTTGGTACGCTCGCACACCTCCAGCAAATCCCAGTATCCAGCCTGGCAGCGGGCGGGCGTTTCCCTGGCTCCCAGCCCTGGCAGTCACCAGCTCTGTCCTGCTCCAGCCACGCAAAGCAGCCGCCAGCCCGCTGCAGCTGGTCAGGGGGCTTCAGCTGCTTGACGCTGCCCCAGCCCTTATGGGCATGTCACAAGCTCTCCTCTTGTAGGGTTGTTTTTTTTTTTTTTTATTTTCCTACTTTTAGATGCAAATTTTAAATGATAAAAAGAAATTTTTTGTACGTGGTTAGAGCTAAGAATGAGAGTGTTTATCAGAAAAACAGTGTCAGGAATTCACAACTACCCCCAACCAAGCACTTGGCAATGCTAAGAAAGTAAGCATGTAACATTAGATGTTAAATCTGAACACAACAAAGCCTGAAAATTTAAGCAATTTCCAACCAGTTTCAACTCTAGCCTGCAATGTCACCATGAGAAAGAAAAAATTCTTTTCAAAAGTCACCTTATTTGTCACCAGGAATGACAAAAAACAACAGTAATTATGATGCTATGGAACTTGGATGGTGGCTACAGACAGAATTAGAGCTGTTTGGGCATAGAAATACGGATTTGAATTGGTCTGGAGATAGCATATGAATGTGCTTAAACTTGACAAGGATGGGCGCACGCAGGCAGCGGTGATCCCTGAGAGCTAAGGCTGAGCAAAGGTATCCATAAGCACATAGCCAGTGTCTTACAAATGAGGACTAGCTCTCCTCGCGTTTATGTCAATAAATGTGCACAACTGCTGAGCCGTGAGCCTTTTATTTGCATATAGTAAATCCTAATAAACTCCTCATTAGGCTCATTAGGCTTTACATGTGGGAGCATGTAAACAAAATAGTACTTCCTTTCCTGGGTCTAAGGTTTACAACCGTTATCATTTCTAGTAAGAAGAATTATCGTATGTTCATCATGTTGATATTTAGAGGCTTCAGAGGTACGTTGAGGTAGGTCCCTAAGATGTGTAGAGACTCATTACTGGGGCAGTTTTTCACTGTCAGCAGGTGCACTTAAAAACCTGTTTGTGCTAGGGAGGTTCTTTTGTCTAACAACAATCCAAAGTTCATGGGCATGAAATATTACTGGGAAAATTAGCATCTTTAAACTTACATAACAAAAGGTGCTCATGGAAAGAGAGGAAGAGGAAAAGGTATGCTGGCCATCTTCAGCGTTTCTGCAATATGGAATTAGGTTCTGCTGTGAGATTTGTTACTGACTTGAGGCACATGTACATCTATTTAATCATTTAATTATACCTGCAACAGCTGGAAAGAACATAAAAAACCAGGCAAGTTGGTAGCTTGGGTTTTTTTCCTACCCTGTGTCTTACAAGAATGAATGAAGATGAAGCTAGCCGCAGCTCCTAGCAGTCAGACCATGTGCCCCCTGTGTAGAGCTTTCTGGCACGGAGAGTACCACGTGCCCACTGCCACCTCCTCAGAAGATGCAGTGCGGCTCTTCCTGCTCCCACGACATCAGGAGGAGCTCAATGGACCGAGTGCCTGCCACGGCCCCCATTCTGCAGCCGCACTCCTTACTTTTCCCAGTCCGGAGGCAGAGTGGAGCTTGCAGAGCAATGTGAAACACACACAGAAACTTTAATTCAAAAATAGAGGTTCAGTTAAAAAGTAGACTATTAATTAAAAAAAACCAAGGCGGGTGGGGCTTGGGAAGTTGGAAAGTTTTCCTGTGCCATTCACATATGTAAAATTTCAGGACTTTTTGTTGGGGCAACAAAATTATCTAACCAAAACCAGGTAAGTCATAGCCCTATCTAAGGCTTTGGCTGTCCTACATTTAGGTGGTTAGGAACCAGCTACATGCTAAGTCTCCATTTTTCCCACTTTCGTTTTGCAATCCCTAGTTGCAAATTATATGGAAAACGCTGTGTCTAAAACAACAGAATTGCCAATTGGATGCAATATGAAATAATTCAGATTGCATAATCCTGTTTTAAATACAAGATAATAAATCCACTGTTAACTTTCAAAGGTATGAATGAATGTTTTGCTGAAATGACACAGTTAACCAGGCATATTGATTCTGTACAGCTTCTGAAACAGAAAAACTCCTTTCAGTGCTTAAAAGAAATGGGAGTCTTTTTCTTTTTGTTTCCCTCTCAGGGATTCTGACATGCCCAGAAAAGTAGAATATTCATCTGGTTTTGTTCACTCTTGAGAACAGACACCACACACTGTTATATTAATGTAGTAAATCTTCCTAGCAATGTGTTATCAATTTTCAGGTGTTAATCAACGAGACTGGTATCATAGTAAAACTATAAGAAACAACAATACATTATTAAAAAGCACACTGAAGCACCTATTCATAATTTTGTACATTCTGCTCGGAAGCCTGAGACATCAATGAATTCTTCAGCATCCTCATGCAACATGCTCTTCTCTCCTGGTACTAGTGTATGAGCTAGTATTTACTCAGGACTCAAAATGACTTAATTTTTGTTTGCTGGATCATGTCAATTTTGTTTTGCTGTATGTTTCAATTAACAGGTGTGTATGTAATATAGACTGCAGTGGATACAGTTTTAATCCTGTATGTGCTTCTGATGGAAGTTCCTATAACAATCCATGCTTTGTTAGAGAAGCATCATGTCTGAGGCAAGAGCAGATCGACATCAGGCATCTTGGACACTGCTCAGGTAGGCTTAAGTCCGTTTTTCTGGTAAATGTAAATTCTGATGTAAGTGGGCTTTGTAGAGCTTTTCCAATTTTGATCAGAAGTCACTGATTCAGTTACCAGTGAACTCCCTGGCTGTATTTTAGAGTTCCCCACACAGAGGTATGTTTACACTACATACATACGTGCTGTGTTTACATTACCTTCCTTTGGCTGCTGTTACCTGGAAAGACAGCAAAAGTTCTTCCGAGAATCTAAGCAATAGTCCAACAGGTCTTACATGAGAGGGTGGTTAAGAAGTAGGAGAGCAAAAGGAATACCGGTGTGTGGGAAACGTTCCCTCTTGTTGCTGTGGGTTATACAATGTACTTCCAAAGTGAGTCAAGTTGGGCCCCGATTGCACAAATATTTATCCACTTTCTTTTTCCAGTGTTGGAATGGTGCACTGAAACCCTCTGTCCACTGTGTTGTAATTAATCACGTGCATGACTCTTCAGTTTTGGGCTCTTGCAGTTAGGATCTTCTCATGGGAATAACAGGTTTCCACCATCTCTTTGACAGTTATATCTAGACCTGTAACTTGCACAGTTCCAAAACCGAAAGAGACTGTCACCAAAATAACCTAGGCCCATACACGGAAGAGTTTTTAGTTCAAAACCTACAGCTGGAAGTGTGCCACATGCTGGTCTGGCCACTGGGGTTACTGACTCTGTTACTGACCTGGCGTGCTACCAGCCTGGTAGTATGGAAGGAACAACGTGGGAATGTGTCCAGTTTTACTGCAATTAAAATACTTCTTCGAATATTATTCTGGCTTCTCATGTAGTTGTCTGGAAATAAGCCTTTCCTAATAGCTATCCTTGCATGTGTTTATCATCTAGAAACAGATGACACCAACGCGGTTGGAAAGAAAGACGATGGCATGCAGTATCGGCCAGAGGTGAAAGGTACCGTGCTGACTTTGTGCTGTTTGGTTACGGTTTCACAAGATGAGAAAATAAGAGCACGCAGGTCCCTTCTCGTCTGCCTCACAGCTTTGATTTCTGTAACGGAGACAGACCTGCAAACAGCTTCTTTCTTACAGCACTGACGTTGCAAGGCTGGCAAGAAGGAGGTGTGCGTGATTTGTGAGTTTTGCCTGCTCTGTTCCTCTAAGATGCCCAGCTGCTCCCCACCCAACGCAGCAGTAACAGGATTAGAGTCCCCCCAAGTGCTGTGAAAATACCTTTATTGCAAGACAGCAAGCCATGACATTCCTGATGAAATGACCCAAGCCCCCCGCCCCCCCCACCATGACCCCATCTTTTCTGATAACTTCTGAAAAAAAATGGCAGATTCTGTGTTAGGTTGTTTTAAAATGTTTTCAGTAAACTAATATGCTGAATCAAGTCAGTTGAAAATGTTTTACCTATATGAACCTTACCTTAGCTATATGAACCTTACTATAAATGAAATAAGGCAGAGTTTCACTTTCTGCTCAGTTGTTTTATATGGTAGTAGCCTCTGTGTGTTAGGTACATTCTCAGAACAAATATGTTTCTGCATTTCATGGCTCTTGCTCAAAGCGTTTCTCTCCATGACCAAACGTCCCTGTCTTTCTCAAGTTATTGGCAAAGAGCAGGTCTGCATAGATGTTAATCTTTCCTCCTCTTCTCTCATGAATAATAGCACTGTTATCTTCTGTGTTAGCTCTGGCCTTTAGCTGTTTCTGTCATACTTGTTTTGCGCTCCCATGGCCTCCTGGAGTAAAGCCATCCCACCATGGCTTTCAGCATTCCTTGTGTTCCTCTTGAACAGCCATTCAGTGCCAAAAAGCTCCATATATTTTTCTTTTTTCACAAATTCTCTTATTTTTACTCCATATAATGTACCAGTTGGAATGATTTAATGTCAATTTTCACTTACATATGAAGGCACAAAAGGCACCAAATGGAATATACATCTTATTATGTGATGTAATGAAACACCACTTTTGGTTCCTATTCAGAAGAAGTTACAGCCTTTTATTCATTGCATATAAATTTCCCTTGAAATCTAGTTAGTGAAAAAAATATTGTATATAATAATTATTATTATGATTATTGTGTATAGCGTGTGCAGTCTCAAGTTTGGCAAATGATGTGCACGAAGGGAGTATGGCTTGTGCAAAAAAATGGTTTTGAAATTTTTTTATGCAGCAGTCAGGTCTTTTTAGATAGTGAGAGCCTGAAGTGAACTACTTTGAATGACTTTTTCTTCCAGGGTAAAAGAACAGTCCACACTTTTGTCTGTTTGCTTTTGCTTTAAATTCCTGTGAGTTATTCTTGTTAAGCCCTGTTCTCTAAATGTATAATAGCTTCCGGTCTCCAGAACCACGATGGTCTCCTTCTCCTGCAGTGCAAGTGCCTGCCTAAAGTTACATCAGAAAGGTCTCGCTTCCCAGATTCAGCTGGCTTGCTGGTTTTATCGTGCCAAGATGGGCATCAGGGTTTCAGTTTTTGTGCACGCCTCTTTCTTCCGGTGAACTATCTGAACT